TTTTTTTGGGGGCGGGGAGGAGGGGGGTTGGTCATGGGGCCTGAATGTTGGGCCTGGGCGCTGTTCCTCAGCTTTTCAGATCAAGGCTAGTGCTCTACCACTTGAGCCATAGCACCACTTCTGCTTTTTTTGCTTATGTGGTGCTGAGGAATCAAACCCAGGGTCTCATTCATGCTAGGCAAACACTCTACCACTGAGCCACCTTCCAGCCCAGCATCTTTTTTTTTAATGTTCAGACACAATCATGAATTTTTTTTCCAAATATTTCCAAGTCACAGTTCATCAAATCTGTGGATATAAAACCTGTCGATACAGAGAAGTGATTGTATAATTGTAGACTGAGATATATCTGGGTTTTGTTTTTTTTGTTTTTTGTTTTTTTGTGTCCAGTCGTGGGGCCTGAACTCTGGGCCTGGGTGCTGTCCCTCTGCTCTTCAGCTCAAGGCTAGCGCTCTACCGCTTGAGCCACAGCGCCACTTCCGGCTTTTTTTCTTTTTGCTTATGTGGTGCTGAGGAATCCAACCCAGGGCCTCATGCATGCAAGGCAAGCGCTCTACCACTGAGCCACCTTCCCAGCCCTATATCTGGGTTGTATGTAAAAAATATCTAACAATACGCAAATTCTTCCTTAAGTTAAAACTTGCATGAACTAATTTGTTGTTCCCTATTCTTTACTTTTTCTACAATTTTTGGATCATATTCACTCAGTTTCAGTAAGAGATGGAAAATTCCTTTTGCTTTGTATTTGCATACTATTTGCATGTGTAAATTTGCGTACTAAAGGAGATTTTATTTGTTTGTTTGTAACTAGCTCTCCATTCAGATTTTCAGTTCTTTCTTTATGATTATGAGTTTTTGGGTTCCCACTCAGAATGCATCAGAAACTGATACCGAATGAATGTGTGGATGGGGCAGCAAAGTAGAGCATCCTGCAACAGCATCTTTAATGTTCTCTATGGCTTCAATATAACTCAAAGATTTTGAGAAACTGAAGAAATCTGAGATCAGAACTATTTAACTAAGACTTAATGCTAAGTTCCCTCTGTAACTGTCAGCGAGTTCTTTAATGTCTCAAAACCTCAGCTTCCTCGTCTGTTAATCACAGAGATGTTTCAGATTAAAGTGTTTAGTACCCGGGCTGGGAAGGTGGCTCAGTGGTAGAGCGCTTGCCTCCCATGCCTGAGGCCCTGGGTTCGATTCCTCAGCACCATATAAGAAAAAAGAAAAAAAGCCAGAAGTGGCGCTGTGGCTCAAGTGGTAGAGTGCTAGCCTTGAGCTGAAGAGCTGAAGGACAGCGCCCAGTACCAGAGTTCAGGCCCCATGACCAGACCCAAAAAAAAAAAAAAGTGTTTAGTACCACACCTATTATTCAGTAAGAACTTGGAAATGTCACTTCTTACTTTGAAAGCCAAATCACAAAACAAAAGATCTGAGCAGGTATCTCACACAAAAAAAGAAGGTCAAACAGCCAAGAGGAAAAAAAGTAAAATGTTCTCCATTAGTAATCAGAAAAAAATGCAAATTAATACTTCTCTGAGTTCAATTATGTATCTACCTGATTAGAAAAACTTAAGAACTTTTAAAGGAAGAATTGGGGAAGATGTAGAATTTCTCCTATACCATGGTGCAAATTAGTACACCAATTGGGGTGAACCATTAAAGGTGCATATATCCCAAATTTAGCAATTCTTCCAATTGCATATGTGTTATAAGGTCTATGAGCAATAATAAACATTTTACATTCATATAAGTGATGTAAATACAGTCAGGATTATTGGTCATCAGCAATAGAATGGGAATTGGTATATCCCTGCTGTTGAATATTAAACAACAGTTCACCTAAATAAACTACATGTATGACTATGGAAGAACCTCACAGTGTTTAATTTAGCAAAATAGTTAAATAATTAACTATATGTGTGTTCTGCTTATAAATATATGGAGTTGAATCATAGACAAAAATATAATGTTGAGACACATCAGGCCTGAGGAAAAGTGGTATGCCAAAAGTACACAGGTAATTACTGGGACCACATCCACAATGGGAAGAGTTTGTGCTATGTTATTTATAATTATCTGCAACTTATATTTGTTTCATCTACCCTTCCATATGTACATCTCACAACTTAAAAATAAACTGATCGCATCATTTCTCTTCCTTAAACTCTTTCAATAGCTGTTCGCTTTAGGATGAAATCCATGCTCTTAGCTTTGTCAATGTGATTTCTCATGGCATGTCTCTTGTACCCCTCTGCAGCAGCATCTCTACCATATCTTTCATGTGTGTTCCAATATAGCAAATTCATTGCCATGTTGTGATGTAGTTTTGTTTTCATCATTGCAGGCAATCAGGATCCCTCAACGTTGTGAACTGTTGGAAATTGTTCACACTGTGTCCTCATGGTGAAGTTTCTCTAGCTAACTTTTTACTGTACTTAATACTCCACTAAAATACCTTGACTAACTCCCACACATGTGGTAGATTCTTCCCCACTCCACTTCTTTTGTGCCCTGTGTTTACTTTCCAATACAGTCTCTTTAGAATATACAAACCTTATTAAATACACATTAATATTTATACACTTTTAGACTGAAACTCTCCTTTGAAGCAGGGATTGCCATCTATCCCCACACCCAAGCACAATATTGACAATAATGATTCTCAATAAGTGTTTGCTTAATGAGGACAATATATGCTTTTTTACATCACTGGTAGTAAAATATAACTCGATGTATGAGGTTCAATCATATAAAATCATCCCTACTTTATGTCAAAAATACTAATTACTGACAATTATATGATTCCTTCTTCATAGGAATTCTCCTTGAGTGTGTTTTGGTGAAACATTTGGTTTGGTTTTCAATGTATTTGTATGCAGAATTGAGAAAGTCATGCTGTATATCAGTTACTTGGAAGGCAGCTACTGAGAGATTTCCATTCAAAACAAGCCTGGGCAAAAGTCAGCAAGACCTTTCTCTATCAATAATGCATACTAATAGCACGTGTGATTCCAGCTATGTGGGAGGCCATAGTAAGAGAATCCTAGTCCAAGGTTGTCTGAGACTCTATCTGAAAAAATAACTACTGCAAAAATGGTTGGAGGCATGACTCAAGCAGTAGAGCTCCTTCCTGGAAAGCTCAAGGTCTTGAATTCGAACTTGAATCCAAAACCCAAATACTACCCCCACCATGCAAAAAAAAAAAAAAAAAGCCACAACAGCAAAAAGAAAATATATTATGTGCAATTACATGGGATTATTTCACCATAAGATCTTCATTTATTGCTGGGCATCAGTGTCCACACCTGTATTCTTAGCTACTCAGGTGGCTGAGATATGAAGATCATGGTTTCAAAGCCAGCCTGGGCAGGAAAGTCCACAAGCCTCTTACCTCCAATTAATGACCAAAAACCTGGATGTGAAGTTGTTGCTCAAAGTAGCAGAGTGCTAGCCTTGTATAAAAAAGCTCAGAGACAGCATCAAGGCCCTGAGTTCAAGCCCCACACCAAATTTTTTTTAAAAATCTGCATTTATTCACAAGTCAGCCTACCCAAGTAAAATTGCATAAGCCACTAGGCAAATGAAAGAAATGTTCAAAATAGCTTCTTTAGGAGCCTTACAAGCACAACTGTCATCTTCTATTTCTCAAAGATGCTATTTGACATATTACAAATCATTCATCTCTGCTGGAGTCCATTGATTATTGACTCTGGTGACTAGGAAACATCAACTAGTCAATTAAAAAAGATATTCTGCCTGTGTGTGCTGATACTTTCATAAAATAAGCTTTTAAGTTATTCCAATGAGGCAGAGGAACTATATCTATTTTTAATATTGTTCTTATTAAACAAAAATATTTGTAGGCTAAAATATCGATAAATTGAGTTTTATGAAATTGCAATATGAGTTCTTTCCTTTTGCCTAACGATCTTACTATTGTCTGTATAAAAGACGCTGTGTGCAGGGGGCGGTGACTCACACCTGTAATCTTAGCTACTCAGGAGGCTGAGATCTGAGGATCAAGGTTCAAAGCCAGCCCAGGCAAGAAAATCCATGAAACTCTTATCTCCAATTAACCTCCAGAAAACCACAAGTGCCACTGTAACTCAAGTTGTAGAGTGTTCATCTTGAGCTGAAGAGCTCAGGGACAGCAGCCAGGCCCAGAGTTCAAGCCCCATGACCGATTAAAAAAACAAAAACAAAAAACTCTGTGTGTGTGTGTGTGTGTGTGTGTGTGTGTGTGTGTGTGTTTCTGTTTCTGAAAGAAACTGAGCATTATAATTTATCTCAGCATCAATTTTTTTCCTTTTATGGGGAAGAGTTAGACAGTACTAGGTTTGAACTCGGCCTCACACTTGCTAGACAGGCACTCTACCACTTGTGCCAGTTAACCATTTCCCTTTATGTACTGATTGTGCTTGAGATAGAGTGAAACTTCATGTCCAGGCTATTCTAGATTGGGATCTTCCTATTTGTACTTCCCCTGAGCTTCTGGTATAACAAGCATACACCACTGTTCCTGGCCAATGTCCTTCCCCATAGCTTGGAGAACAAGTGTGCACCATTATGCCAAACCATTAGTAAAGCCATGGTTTCATGAATGCCCTTCCATGGTCAGGGGTAGGCACTTGCCTGGGACCACAACCACCTGATCTCTTTTAGGCTTGAACCATGGTGTCCATCCTCTCAATCCACTTTTCTCTTTAATGAGTTTAATCAATAAAATGCAGTATTGTGTTGCAAATAAGAAATGCCACTTTAAAATAGTGTGTTTCCCAACTGTTATTCTACCATTTGAAAGTGTTAATTACAGCCATCCTATGCCAACAGACATGATTGTAGTGAATCACTGTAGTATATCATCAAGTAGACATTCCATCCTATGGGTTTTCACCTAAATGGACAGTATTTAGATCCATATGTAATACATAAACCATAAACTGGGTATACAAAGGATACATAGATTTACTGCTAATGAGTACTTTAAATTTGCAACTCACCACTGCGTATATGGTTTCTCATCTACAGAAATGTGTCTAATTCAACAGCTTCTTGCATGAGTTGCCATAACCAAAATTTGAGGTGGTCCTGCTGGAGGTGTTTCTCATGCTAGCCTAAAATCAAAAGAAAGGAGAGGTGAGCTGTTTTATAATTTCAAAGTAGGCTGAGTATAAAGTGAAAGAGTGCTTCCCTAACATGCATAGGACCCATAGTTTGATTTCCTATGTTACAAAAAAAATTAAAAGGAAATTTCACCTCCACTTTGAAAACTAAAATACTGGCATCAAGAACTTTAAGACATTTGTTTTCAAATGTAGCAGGTGCAGGGAAAAGGAAATAAAATATCTCAAGGTAGTCAGGTCTGTTTAGAATTTACTGCAAGCATAACACCTTGTATGTTATCAACATCAAAACATAAGCCCAATTACTAATTATTATTTGGGTTGATTTATAATTAATGGTATCAATTTAGTCTCAACTGTGATGGAGACATGGCTATATATGTTTACATGTTCTTGTTTTCACAAAAGATTTCATTAGAACAAAGGGTCACATCTTTCCCAGTAAAATGAAGAAGAAAGGTTAAAATCCCACAAAAGATATGAAATAAAGTACAAATAATCTGCAATTGATCTGATTTTGAAAGATACCTGCTCTTACCTGTTTGCATCATCAGTTACGAACCTACATTTTTTATCTTACTGCTGACCATTTCCTAGCATTTTATTAGAGCAGATACTCCAGAAGTGTGCCAGTTTCCAGTTTTCTACATATTGCCGTAGGTTTTGGCTTTGAAAGTATGGTCACCACACCTTTCTCCTCCACATAGAAGTCTCTTCCTGCTCAGACATTTACCACTAATTTAGGACTATGTGTCCCATTACCACCCTTCTCCAGAACCCACTGTGGCACCCATTATTAACTACCTCCATTTTGCAAATAAATTTCTTTCTCCTCTGAATTCTGCTTATTGTCACAGAATAACATCGGTCCTTAGCCATGTTCCATCTCTATTGTTACTTAATCTTACCCCCACAAATGAGATTATAAGCTCCAAATACCAGGCATTTTACATTGCACTTTTCCAATTTCTTCCACCCATAGCTGGAGGCTTTATACATGGGAGAGTTGCTGTTCCTTCAATAAATGTTTTGTTCCTACTGTGTGTCAAGCAAACAAAGGCAGGCCCTGATAGGAACTATAACTGCATGTAAAACAGGAATAGACAAGTGCTGTGCTGAGTGACACATGAGGAGCCTCATCCCACAGACAGAATCAGCACTGGCACCTAACCAAGCCTAACAGTTTTCCTCACTAGTGGTGGTTTCAGATCCTGTAATTGCATTGAGAGTTCCACTTGGAGGAAACACACAAAGCACCCAGGTTGGTGAGCCTCCGCAAGTCAGGATCGGACACCAAAATATATCTCTAGTGCTTCTAAGTCTCTGCTGGGTTTTGTTTTGTTTTGTTCCTATGGGCAAAAAGAAAAAGAAAATGGAGGAAGTGAGGAGGGAGACTAGAAAGAATGAAGGTCTTGGTTCTACTATGCAGGCTACTCTGCAAAGACCTGACTACTCTGCCTAAGAGCTCCTTCTCATTCACTCTGCATGCTATCTACACAGAGATTTTCAGCAGCTGGGGTTAGGGGTGCCTCTAAAGGATCTTTCTATCATTTCTTTTCCCACTAAAAGCTTGGATTTCCATCCCTATAAACATGATTTCCATATGCTTATGGATTTTATATCTTATAGTCATCAAGAGTAAGAATCATGAGAAAGGTTATAATGGTTTGTGATGGATCCCAAATGTCAATTCAATGAGAAAATTCTTCACCCAAAGTAAGTGTGCAGGAGATCTGTTTTCAAAATTGACTGGTTTCTTTCTACTTAGGGAATTTCAGTATCAGTTGATGTCTTCAAAGTTTCTAAATTCATAATCAGAAAGGAAACTTCTCTTCATTAAATACAGGAAAAGGATAGTCCCCCCCAAATATGGGTATGTTTTCATCTCTCCTTTTCCTCCCTTTGCTCATAAAGATAAAGAGTACTCAAGCTGAAAATTCCCTAGTCAAAGCCTTAAGATTTCCCTAAGAAAATATGTACAAATAGGGACTTTTCTGAAAATACAGGCTCCAATTGTAAATTACATTTTCTCTTTCAAACAATCAATACAAGTGTGATTTTTTTATCTGAATCAGCAGCAGTGTCTCATCACAGGCTTATGTAATGCAATATATAGACTCAATATGCCAAAGAAACAAATGCATTCTGTTCATCTTTGCCAATAAGCATCATGCCTATTAGTCTCTAGACGCAACTTTTTCCACAAGTCTTTGGTGCTCAGAAAAGGCTTAGAGTTGAAGCTGATTTGAATAGGGAGAAAGTAGAGATGAGGAGGTTGACTAAGGAGGTAAGTCTGATCAAGGCTCATTAGTATGTATATATGGACATGTCAAAATAAAATCCCTGTATAATGTTAATAAAAATTGATGTTCATAAAAATGTGGAGCAGAAAAGAATATCCACATACCGGTCTTTTAAAAATGAATGAATAAATAGTTGCAGTAATAGATGCAAGTAGGTAGAAAGAAGGTATTCAGCAAGCCTGCAGCAAACCGAGCATTGTGTCCATTTTTGTCTTTACAGGACACTTCTGTCCCTCTTTATGCATGATTGTTGCAATGACCAACCAAAAGCTTTAAAGAGATTGCAAATGAAATACAAGGACAATGAAAACAAAATTTTGAAATGTCAATTGGTTGGCTTCTTATTCAAATCAAATAAGTCTCCTTTGCTTTGAATCTATTTTTCTGATAAGCAACCAAGAAATCATATGATTTAAACATACCAGTTCTACTACATGTCTTTTAATTACAAATGTGACCCGAGGTCAGAACTAGAGCAAAGAGAGAGAAAAATCTGTCATGTTTAACAAACAAGAAAACTCCGTTTGTCTTTTTATTTTATGATTAGCATAGGAAGATATTGTAATTAGTCTTACATTTAATGAAACACTCATTTATTCAAAGACATAATGTGTCTATAAAGTTATATATGAATATCTATCAAACAGATATGTAATGAGAGGCTAGGAAAATTCCTTTTGCATGTAATATTCCTATAAGAATAACAATGAATGAATATTCCTGTAAATTTCAAACTATAAATTTAAAATTCTTACATTCTATATGCCACCTATGGTCAACTCTCAGTTCATCTTAACCTTGAAAAATCTTGACCATATACTATAAAGCCATTAAATACTCCTAGCTGCAAACATACCAGACAATGACAGCAAAACACACTGAGTCCCTCTGGGATCTGTTCATAAACATCCCCTTCCAGCATGGCAAACACACTCCTCCCCACAGCAGATGCTGTTCCGGAACCAATGAGCAGGAAAGTGGGAGCAGCTGATTTTTTTTCCACCCTACATATAATTTCTTACTGCCTCATCACCAGGAATCGTTTTACTGAAATTTCAAGTATTTCATGTAAGAATAGGAACCCTTTGCAACTGCGGGAAGAAATGATATGGAAATAAGGAAACATGAAGTCTTTAATGTTTAAGGTCATTCCACCTGATTGTCATCTGATTTCTCTAGTCCATTGTGGGTAAGGGGGGAAAAAAGCCACTTTACTGCACATTACAAAGTAAACTAATCTAGTACTTTATGCCCATTTTAAGGCTGAGATCAAGGTACAGAAGGGAATATATACCAGAGGCAGTAAAATTACCACATCGAAACTATCCAGCCCCTAAAATCCAATAGTTCTACAGCAGAAGTAGGAAGCTTGTAAGCTCATTCATGATCTTGGCTATCTGTATTTACAGAACATATATATTCACTGAGATGGAACACTGACAGAAGCTTCTCTGAGAGAAATGGTCGTTAATACAAACCATATTAAATATGTTGATGAGCATGCTCATTGAGATAGTCCAGAGTCTGACAAGTAGCAGTTTAGAGACAGAGGGAAATATAGAGAGCTAGGGCAAATGATGGATGGAGCACTTGCACCCATTTTACCTCCCTCTCAACTGTGGCCTATCTCATATGACTTGGCCAGCTTCTTTCCTGTGTGTTTGTGAAAGTTATTGTCAACACGGCCAAAGCAAGCAGGGTTGCTGTACAGACTGTCAGTTCTGCAGCAAAAACAGCCCATGTAAACAACCTTGTGATGGTTGTAGAGCTTACTGCCAGGGGATAGGCCATTCTTTTTTGTGGCCAGATTGCAGTACCCTTGGTTGTCATCTGTGTAATGGAGTAAAAGCAGTGATTTGTTCTCGAGATTTAATCGAAGGAGAAATATATGTGTATATGTATATATATATATATATATATATATATACATATATAATTCTCTTTAGATAAATATCTATAACCTGATATACTTGAAGATTTTTCAAGAAGTCATATTTTGCTGAAGGCACAAACACATGCATTCTGATAAATATATTACCATGATCCTTTCTGATGAGCTCCCTCTCTCTCTCTCTCTCTCTCTCTCTCTCTCTCTCTCTCTCTCCCTCTCTCCCTCTCATTTTTTCCCTAAAACAGCTCTGACATTTCTAGGGGACACAATATCCCAGCACAGAATACCTGGGAACCTTGCCATTTAAAAAAAAAAAAAAAAAAAAAAAAAAGCTTCTTGCTATGAGTAGGAGATCACTTTCTTAAAGGAACCCTTACCTAGTAGACTGCAGTGCTAATGTTTATTCTTATCTCTAACCTGACCCCTGTTGTGTGTTCCTCTGTCCAGCTCAAATTTACCCCCAAAGTCTCTCTGCAAGAGGAATGTCACTAATTCACATCTAATGTATATGTAAATACCATACTATCTTTTATTTAAAAATATGTCCCAAAATAAAGTTTTACCTGTCAGGGCAGGAAGCATAAATGCATACTAAATGACATTCCTAAATGTTTTATGGAATCCACAGCATCTCTCAGATGGAGAACTGAGGTCAGCATTTCCAGCAAACACAGCTGGCTTTTTCCCCCTCTCTTATTCTCTTCCTCACCCTCATGTGTGTCTCTTTCCTTCTATAACTCTGCATTGGTCCAGAAACCCCTGGTCACAATAATAATGGTCCCTCCCACCCTCTACCACCCTTCACTGCAAACAGAAAGGTTTCAACATGCCTAAGTCTGAGAAGAGATGCTTTACCCAGAGAGAAAAGCTGGTAGCTTCTTGCCTCAGAGAGAGTTTGCTTGAATAACTGCCATTCCACCCCATCTCTCCTCAGTCTCCCATGCTTCTTCTACCACCCCACCGGGAGCATCGACTAGCCATCACCCCACCTTCCAAAACCAGGTTAAAACCCAGAATGAGTAAAGAGTCACTTACCATTCCGTGTCTGAAAACTACGATCCTGATCCGGCAGTATTGGCCCCAGAATCCCCTCTACTTGGTTTTAGTTGCCCACATTCCAAATAATCATAAGGAAGAGATTGTTTGGAGGTGGGGAAACGGTTTAAAACGAATGATTGACAGTTGATCTCCAAGAGGATCCAGTCTTAAACTCACTCAAGCCCCTAGGAATTGAGCGATGAGGAAGATGAAAAGAAATTTGTAAAAATGGAAAAAGAAAAGAAAAAAGGCAAGCGTACAAGAAGCACCACCCACCCCCATAAAAATAAAAGGAGAAGGGGAGGTGTTGAAAAAGAAGAGTGCCCTGCTGAATCACTCCCTTTCACTGCCTGGAAACCATTGTGCAGCGTGATGCTGCCTGTACCATTGTGGAACCGACCAGAGGAGACCGACTAAGGGCTTGGGGAATGGGGTTGCTATGGCAACCCAAAGGAGCACACATGACGTCAAAGCCCAGAGAGGTATAGGGAGGGGTATGGAGGGGAAGAGAAAGAGGAAAAAGTCTGTGCCGCTACAGCGTCTGTGTTTTCTGGCGAAAGGAGAAGCAGGCAAAATGAAAAGGACTAGGAATGTAGGCAGCCAGATATTGGCAAATACGACCACAGGGAGCCCGTCTGCACAAGGAGAAACAATCCACGCGATGCAGCGCTAGCCCTTTACCGAGCAGCACGAAGCAACAAGCAAGCAAATTTAAAATAAAATAAAAAAAGGAAAATGCAGTCAACCTCTGCTTTTCAACCACCTCAGTGTTTTGCAGTGAACAGGTAAAGAGACATGTAATATCTCTTCATGTCCAAACGAACAAGCACAGTCATCATCTCTGAGAAAAAGGGAGCATTTGAGTTCTGCCTGGACCAGGGAGGTCATCTGCACGGACCTTTGTCACTTCTCTGGTCTCTGTTAATATTTTCATTAAAACTCTGAATAAACGCCTGCTACACCAAATTCAGCAGGCTAATGCTTACATTGTCGTTTCTGTAGAAATAAAATATGAATACAAATTAATAAAGCAGGATCTTTATTTTCTGGAAAACTGGCATAAACTACATTATTTTCTATGAGACAAATGTCTCCATTTTATTTAAGTATTTTTTTCCCACCTTTGACTGTAATAAAGGTACTTTTTAGTGTTCGTATTATGTTAGTACCTACAAGTCAAATTCTCAGAGAATGAGAGCAATTGGCTACTCCACTATTTACAGAAAATGTTTACCAATTTTAAACCTTTCATAAATATGAGGATACTTTTTAAATACTTATTTCTAAAGCCTTATCAGCCTTTGGACTTCTTCCTCTACAAAATCAAATTGTATTCCTCTCTCCTTTAATACCTTTGATGGGTTTCTATCTGCTAAATGAACAAGTGCTGAAATTCTTATGATCCTACACTGTTTATACCTACATGAACAAGGAGCTTATACCATATGTTAACAGGAGAGATCTATAAGCCCAGCAGTGACTATAGATACTGAAATACCTCAGAAAGTTGTAAGATGTCACATATGGTCATGTTGTTTTTAATTTTGTTGCTGTGATTGGTTTTATTCAGAAAGAAAATTAGCAAAAGACAGAATAGGTGACTTTTCTATCATCCTTTTGCTCTAATTTCAGGTTTAACAAGAAGCAGTTGACTACATTTAGTCTCCACAGAGGTTCTGCATAAACGTGGTGATTGTCTCATCCAAATACTTTATAACAGAAATAACTTCGTAGCAGAAAGGAATTGACATCCTTCCATTAATACAGTCTAAGTTTTTTTCTTCCTTTCTTTTATCCTTCTTCGGTGCAATACTAGGGATTCAATTGAGAGCCTTGTACATGCTAGGCAAGCACTACACAACTGAGCTGTATTTCCAGCCTATATTCTGTCTAAATAGAAAAAGTTCAGTCCTCAATAGCTCAATCAATGGGGTAAAAATTAGCTTCAACTCTTCTCTTTCATCGTAAACACTAATGTCAATTCAAGATAAAATACACACTTGAACACAAAAGTTAACATTTCTAAAGCTATCAAATGCTTTCTTTTAAGAGAAAGAATACCATTGTGATCTAGGAGTACGGTAGTATTTCTCAAGATAAAGAAAACATTCACCACAGGGGAAAAAAAGAAAGGAAGAAAGAAAAAGGAAGGAAGGAAGGAAGGAAGGAAGGAGGGAGGGAGGGAGGGAGGGAGGGAGGGAGGGAAGGAAAGAAGGAAAGAAGGAAGGAAGAAAAAGACAAAGAGGCAAGAGAGGGAGGGAAGGAAGGAATAAAAGACAGAGGAAGATTTTACCACACTTACAAGCTTTCACTTATCCAAAGTCACCATTAAGAAAATGAATAGATAAGCCACAGACTAGAAGAAAATGCTTTTTAAATACATGTGAAAATACTCTGTATACACACAAATTCTAGATTATATGAAAATTCATAACTCCATAATAAAAACAAGAAATTTGGTTTAATGGGTAAAAGACTTGACCAGGCAGTTGACAGAAGAAGGTTTATAAATGGCCCATAAGCCCATGAATAACTGTTCAATGTGATTGGTCATGAGAAAAATATAAATAAAAACCATGATGGAATACCATTCCATACCCCCAAACATAGCTAAAATTAAAAAGAGTGACATTCCCTGCTATTAGCAAGGTTGTGTAGAAATAGAATTCTCCCACATTTCTGGTACAAAATTATAAAACATTTTGGGAAATAGTTTGACATTTCTTATAAAGATAAACAGACTCCTACAGTATGACTCAACAATTCATTCATAAGTATTCACCCAAGAAAGTTAAAACATTTGTCCGCAATTAACGTGCACATAAATTTTATGTCATATTTACCTATAATGGGAGAAATTGGAAACAACACAAGAGTAAATGGAAAAAGAGGTAAGAAAATTACTGTGTAACCGTCTAATGAAATAAGACTGGATTTAAGAAAAAAAGAACAGAGTCCATGATAAGATTAAAATCGTTTCATCCACTAGGTAAAACTCTTCATAGCATTATTTACAAAGAGTGTTCGGTATCAACTTTGCTCAAAATTTGGTTCCCTGGGGCTGGGAAGATGGCTCAGTGGTAGAGCGCTTGCCTTGTATGCATGAGGTCCTGGGTTCAATTCCTCAGTACCACATAAGCAAAAAGAAAAAAGCAGGACGTAGCCCTGTGGCTCAAGTGGGAGAGCACTAGCCTTGAGCTGAAGAGCTGAGGGACAGCACCCAGGCCCAGAGTTCAGGCCCCACGACCGGACCTAAAAAAAAAAAAAAAAAAAAATTTGGTTCCCTAATTCTCAACATACTCATCCAATAATGTCTTACAATATATAATCTATGCACTTTAGAAAACTATTTTCCTAAAACCTGATTATGTTCATTAGAAAGCAAAGTTTTCTAAGTTGGTTAGAAAATAAATTGACATATTACTTATTGGATAAAACCAAAACAACTTAAAATTTTCAATAAAATGATCCTAATGAATTGCTTTATTGCCAATTCTCAGTCCAACAAAATACATTACAAAATCTACTAACCACCAAATACAGTAGTAAAAAGTTCAAGCTGGGCGCCAGTGGCTCACTCCTGTAATCCTAGCTACTCAGGAGGCTGAGATCTGAGGATCACAGTTCAAAGCCAGCCGGGGCAGGAAAGTTCATAAGACTCTTGTCTCCAATAAACAGCAAGAAAGCCGGAAGTGGCGCTGTGGCTCAAGCGGTAGAGCGCTCGCCTTGAGCTAAAGAGCACAAGGACAGCGCCCAAGCCCAGATTTCAAGCCCCACGACCAACAAAAAAAAGTTCAAAGAAAACAGAGAAAGAAAGGATAAATACATAAGGAGATCTTCTGTGACTCTGAATATATGCTATCCTATCTTATAACTTAATCCTTTTTGTTTCTCATTCTTCCTTAATAGTACCCTTTTCCAAAAGTTAAACCTATCATCTTATACATGATGATCACCAAATATTTTTGATTCAAGACAATATCTATGGTTTATCATTTTAACCAGCTATTAAGATTTTTATCTTAAATATTATTAGGAAATGTTGTTTGAGATATCTAATACTAAACAGGTGATCTTTGTTATGATTTTTATTATTTTAATTATTTGTTGAGGGATGAAAACACCTTAGCCAATTCACTCTTTTCTACATACTTCTCCCACCACACCCTACACTCCAGTCCTGGGGGCTTGAACTCAGGGGCCTGGCCACTGCCCCTGAGCTTCTTTTGCTCAAGGCCAGCACTCTACTACTTGAGCCACAGTGCTACTTCTAGGCTTCTTCAGTTTATGTGGTACTGGGGGATCAAACCCAGCACTTCATGCATGCTAGGCAACCGCTCTACCACTAAGACACATTCCCTTCCCAATGAGTCCTGTTAACAGCACTACCAATTATAGAAATTTAAAAAACAAAAGAATTGTAAATAAATGTGAGTTCTTATTTAATAAATACCTGGATCTCTAATTAATATCTTTAGTATACAAGTCTATGTATTCAATGGCCTGTGTATAGGAGGACTAAATATTTGGGAATATCTCTTGTTCTCAAAACAAGGAGATCTTCTTTCCTTATATATACAAACTTTGAAATCATACATTTTCAAAGTAAATTACTAAAAATGTAACTGTATAGATGAATATCAAAACACAATATTGAGTGAAAAAACTAAGACAAAAAGAATATGTATTATATTCATCCATTTATATAATGTTCCAGCACAGACAAAACTCATCTATAATGACAGAGCTCCAAGCTGTAATATTATACAAGAAACACTGTTGAGGACTATGTTGATTGCAAGAGGGAAATTTATGTAGTGATGAAACTGTACTATATCTTGATTGAGATGTGAGTTGTTACATGGGTATATTGATTTGTCAAAATTCCTTGAAGTGTAACTCTTAAGAGCTATGCATTTCATGCAATGTAAATTAAATTTTCTGTTAAGAAAAAATTTCTAGTCAATTTCCCAGAGGAAATTGCTAAGTGAGCCAATAAATTGAAGTTCTGAATCCTAAGAATCGAATCCCTTATCCTCAATCTTGATTTTGCAGACCCAGCAATAGGTAAAGGCAGGTTCTGGCTCACTAGGAACTTAAAGCGAGCCATCAGAGATGATGAAAACGATGAAAAAGTTTAGATTTAAAAATAAAAAGACAAGGGCTAAAAATGTAAGTAGTATTGTCAGAAAAGCCTGACAAAGTTAACTCCTATTAGGGATATATATATCTTTAAGTAGTTGTTCAAAGAAGGTGCCATTTAACAAAGCAGTTTATGAATACAACGCATTTTCTCACTCCTCTTCAGTCCACACTTTCCCTTACTTTTCTTAATTTTGTAGTATATATAATGAATTCTTGACTGCAGCCTGCCCCCATTCCCTCTTTC